TCAGTCAAAACAAGTCAAAGATATGGGTCTAGAAGCCCATTCATTAAAACAAAATGGCCGCCAGACAGCCATTTTGAATCCGATCTGAAAAATAAATGATGTGCATCAGGAACCTGTAATGTCTAATATATGTACCAAGTTTGAACGAAATTCATCCATAAATGTCAGAAATGCTTGATATTTGATGATTGTTTAGCACAAAAAAGGCCACCATTTGGTCATTTTGAATTGGATCATCAAACCAATATATCTGTCTATCTATGACATGATGTATAATGAATATTTGAAATTTGAACATAATCAGTGAAAGCAAGTCAGAGATATGGCACGACAACCACATTCATCAATACAAAATGGCCACCAGTCGGCCATTTTGAATCTTATCTGAAAAACAAAATGATGTGCATCAAGGTGCTATAATGTCTAATGTATATACCAAGTTTGAACAAAATCCATCTGTAAACAGCCGAGAAATGCTTGATTTTGATGATTTTTAGCACAAAAATGGTCGCTATTCGGCCATCTTGATCTTCAGATCATGAAACAAATTGATGTGCATATGTATAATATCATGTATGATGTATGTGTGAAGTTTGATTGTGATTGGTCCAGGCATTTCTAAGATACAGATCCGGACGCACGCACACACGTACACGCACGCACGGACACACGGAGGTCAAAACATAAGTCCCCGTTTTCGGACTGCGTCCGAACGGGGACTAATAAATTGTTACTAAGGGCATCTTATTTTATAACCTTCAAGTATTACTAATGAACATGCTGTGGGTGCTAGTTGCATGGAAATTTGTAATATGTTAGTTTACAACTAAAAACACACAGATCACGTAAGTTTTGGTTCAACTGTGTTTACACCGGAAGTAAGCGGCAGAGCACGTGTGGGAAAAGTAATCGTTCCGACACGAACCGGGTGTATAACTATGCATCGCTTTATCATCATCAATTATCATTGAGTCGGTGTATTTCGCGTAGAAGTGACATTAAACCATGAATGTTGTCTTGATCACAATATTTTACCTTTTTGTTGGCTTTCTTTGGAAGCACAAATTCATCGTCCGCCATTTTGAATATAGGTGTTTGTTCGTTCAAATTATTTATGTTATCTCCACTTTTTTTTAGGGAAAACATTGGGTAAAAACAGTGAAATTACCATGATACTGAAAAACAGTTAACCGTGGCATTTGGAACGTATATTAGCGATATTAAAATAAACAGAAACTTTATTATTGATTT